ATTTGAATTTTCTTGAAATTTTTAGTACCTTATATACTTTTGATAAAGATGTGTGTTTGTTTATCGTGGGTCAGGTCCGGTGTACAACAGAGGAGGACTTCTTGGCAAGATGGGGTGCTTGGCACAAACTGTCCCATTCCTTCCAAGTGGAATTGGACTTACCAATTTCAGGTTAAGGATCAGATTGGGAGCTTTTTCTACTTCCCTTCACTCCATTTTCAACGAGCATCAGGTGGTTTTGGCACCTTCATTATCAATAACAGGCCTATTATTCCGATTCCTTTTGATACACCTTATGGGGATATCACAATTTTGATTGGTGATTGGTATACCCAAAATCACACGGTTAGTGATTGATGATTTATCAGTCTTATGTCTGTTGAAATTTAGGAAGTTTATCTCTTAATATATGTCTAGTGACTGATTTTCTGATCATTTCTAGGCTTTGAGGAAAACCCTTAATGCTGGGAAAGATCTTGGCATGCCTGATGGTGTTATAATTAATGGGAAAGGACCTTTTAGATACAATGATACTCTTGTTCCCGATGGCATAGACTATGAAACGATTACAGTTGAACCAGGTGACTGATGATCAACAAGTCGTATCTATGTTTAATAAAAATAACCTATTTTACATATTTACATCATTACGTGAAGTTATTGACTTTTTTTCACTTATATGTTTGAGACAGATGCAATTCCTAGTCTCATAATATTGTGTACCTTTTCAAAGTTTTGGAGAGGAAGATGCATTTGAGTTGATGTATAGTGTAGCTTGTCAGATATATTAGGTCGTATAGGAATTTGAGATTGTCTCCCCCCATCAAGATATTCTCTTTGTTGTCCAAGAAAATGCAAATTAAATCATAAAAATTTTGGAGCCTGAAGTGCAATTAGAAATTAGATCCATTGTTGGGGGGATTCACATTACTATTATTGGTCATATAATGTATTTTTGGTATTGATTTCACTGAGATTTGACAAGATTTGTGAATGGTGAAATAATTCTTGTGTAACCATCTTCGAAATTCCAAGGCCTCTGTTTTTAATTGAGAGAAAGAAAGAGCTCAATAAATGTGTAACAAGAGAATTAAAGTTTGTGCTGGAGTTGAGGTATCCATCATGTGGAAGGTGTTTTAGCATAAAAATTGAAATCTCGTAAATTGATTTAAAACTTGACCGTTTGCCGCAATAGTATAAGACCTCAATGGTGGCCATTTTGTAGAGAAAAGACGGTGAGAAAAATCTCATATTTTCCATTTTTATTATAGTGAAAAATTTATAGTACTAAGTAGATGTAGGAGGTGAACCACTATCCATGTTGTGTTTCTATTTTTGTTTTGTTAATTGCTTTTCATACAGTAAAAGTAATAACATCTATTTCTCTCTCGTGATTTGAATAACTCACATTATGATGTTTACTGCAGGCAAGACTTACCGGCTTCGTGTGAGCAATGTTGGAATATCAACTAGTTTGAACTTCAGAATTCAGAGCCATAACCTACTTTTAGCAGAAGCCGAGGGCTCGTACACAGTACAACAAAACTATACTAGCTTAGATATTCATGTTGGGCAATCATATTCCTTTTTGTTAACCACGGATCAAAATGCAAGCAGTGACTACTACATTGTTGCAAGTGCAAGATTTGTGAATGAAACAGTATGGCAGAGAGTCACTGGCGTTGCAATCTTGCACTATACAAACTCAAAAGGGAAGGCGTCGGGTCCTCTTCCTGACCCACCACAAGATCAATTTGACAAGACCTTCTCAATGAACCAGGCAAGATCTATCAGGTGTGTTTTCTTTTGAACAAATCTCAACATATTGTACCAAATACGAATTTTTTAAATTGCAATACTGCATAACACGAAATATGATTTTTGTCACTGTTTAAAGCATGTTTGGTTGTACTTAAAACTTTTGAGTTAGTTATCATGCCGAACATGATTTTGAAAGTTACATTTTTCACTAACAAAGTTTATTTTTCTACTGTAAGAATCTTTGAAGTGCAGCAAAACATGCTCTAGGTCATACCAATAACCTTCGTGGTTACTGAATGTGCTGATTCTAGCCATATGAATTATAAAATTCATTCTCTAACATTTACAAGTAGTAGATATTGCATACAAATGTCAAATTTTGATTAATAATAATCTTCTGAATATAAATGGAGGATTATTTCCTTTCCAAACTACATGTTAAATATCCTTTTTTATTAATCTAAAATCTTGTTTACTCTTTTCCTCATGGAGTCAGTCTTTTGTGTTTTACACATTGCAGATGGAATGTGTCTGCTAGTGGTGCTCGCCCAAACCCTCAAGGTTCGTTTAGATATGGTTCGATTAATGTAACTGAGGTGTATGTGCTGAAAAACAAGCCACCTGTAATGATTGATGGGAAACGGCGAACTACACTTAGTGGGATTTCCTTTGTAAATCCTGCTACACCAATCAGGCTTGCAGACCAATATAAAGTGAAGGGAGTGTACAAGCTGGATTTTCCGACTAGGCCACTTACAGGACCACCTCGGATGGAAACATCAATCATTAATGGTACTTATAGAGGATTCATGGAAGTGATCTTGCAGAATAATGAAACCAAGGTGCACACCTATCACATGAATGGATATGCCTTTTTTGTGGTTGGGTAAGATCTTTTAAAATTCAACTTATCTAGAATCTGAAGTACATATGGTCCTTAAATTGTCATTGATTATTTACACATTGACTCATCGAATCACAGAATGGATTATGGTGACTGGACAGAGAATAGCCGGGGCACATACAATAAGTGGGATGGAATTGCTCGCACCACAACACAGGTACATATGAAGAAATTTTGTTGCTATCAACATTAATTTCCTCACAATTTTCGTAGTGTTTTAATGGCTTCATTCTGGCACTTAATTGCTGGACTTTTTTTCAACATAGTAGTGAAATTTGATCTATCCAGTGAACTAAAAATCAGCCAATTGAAATTTCAATTTAGAAAATAATGATATGTTTAGTGAATTTTACGTTTCATTCACCATATTATAAATTCTGCTGTTTTAGGAGCCTAATCTATCATATAAGTCAAGATACTCAGTTTACTTTGCTCTATCCACCCTGCGGAAAGATTTGGTTTCAAACATGCTACTTGACCAGGAATTTTAGTATCTTACATCAGGACTTAAGTTTTTCATGTTTTCAACCATCGGGAGATAGAGGGAAGTCTTGATTTCCCAAACAATATTGGAACTATTTTCACTTTTCCTTGTGTTGTTTAGGTTTTTCCCGGGGCATGGACTGCAATCTTGATCTCCCTGGATAATGTTGGAGTTTGGAACATCAGAACAGAAAACCTCGACTCATGGTATCGAGGACAAGAAACCTACATTAGGGTTGTCAATCCAGAGCCCAATAACAAGACTGAGTTTCCAATGCCAGACAATGCCCTCTTCTGTGGTGCACTAAGCAAAATGCAAAAGTACGTACATTACTCAATACTGTCCATTCTTATTCACTACTGCATACCAAACATACTCTCATTGTCTATACTCCGCTTTTAGTTTGTAGTTGGTCATGTTTTCTAATTTTCATCTTTATCGCTTTCAGGCCACAAGACATATCTTTTGCAACGTCGATCAAGGGCATTGAATCAAAAGTATTTTTCACTTTGCTGTTGGTATCTGCATTCATTTCCTTATATTGATTGAGAAATTCATTTGCAATGCCTACATTATATTACATCTAGGATTCCTGGCTATGCTTAGTCGATTGTGGTTGTGAGATTTTAGATGTAAGCTTAGGAGTGTTGATATGAATCATTTTTGGATCCGGTTGTATGAAATGCTCCCGGACCCTTTTTAATGTAATGGGATTCATTATTCTTTTAATACATGGATGTTGTATACCGTATATGTGATTTCTTCTTGAATCGTAGTTTCACTGTTTTAGATACTATGTATTGCAATGTCTCTTAAGTATAATACTTAACCTTGCAGAATAAATTATTAAGCTTAGAGAAGTTTTTATTACACATTAAACCTGCTGGAGATTCAATTTGCTATTTCTTGGAATGAATAAAAGACCAAGCTGCAAAATAAGTCAACGGGATCAACCATTTGTCATATAACATCACAGAAGTGGAGCACTTATTTATGTTAGAACAAAACTGCATCCAACTTGAGAAGCAACATTCTCATCCTCAAGACCAGTGTTCTAAATGGCTTATTGTTTGGCGATGCATTGAGGTCAAGTTATAGGCCACGTGAGCTTAGATAAGGTTTAGGTGTAAAAAAGCGTTTTCTTATTTTAATATTGTTTTAATTTTTAATAAATCAAAAAATTATTTAATAATTAAAAATAATACTTGCTAAACATTTAAAAAGATTTACAGGAACTTAATACATTTTTTCAAAGTTTCCAACAAAAAGATAAGTTTTCTATTTAAATACAAAATAGTAAATAAATAGTATAGGAACTTAAATCTTATTTAACTTTTTATCATACTCCAATTCAATATCATCTTCTTCATCTAATTTGTTCTCCGTATCTTCCGATACAAAATATTCTTCGTCGGGCTCCCTTATTTCATTTTGAGCATTTCTAGTACCTCTCGAAAGTTGTAAGATATCATTTTTCACCCCCATCATACTCCTCCTCATCATCACAACCCTCTATAATCCAACCATTAACAATTTTTTAACAACACAAAATTAAAAAAAATTTTAAAAAAGGATGATAATGCCCGATGATTGCCTTAGGCGTGCCTTAGCGATCAATGATTGCCGTTGACCGCCAAATAAGGCGACTAAGCTTCACGCATGGCGACGCCATTTAGAACAATGCTCAAGACCTGAGTCATGGCTTGGTGTTTTGGCCAAGCATCACGCATGGCGATAACATTTAGAACACTGCTCAAGATCTGGTGACTCATAATGGAAGTGTGATACCATATACGACTCCAGAGAAGCTTAAAAGTAAATTTAGAAATGTTACTATCCTCATCGTTAACGTACAGAAAAATAGTTTTCTCTAGCTCTATAAATGCAATTATGGTTCCACCTCTAAAATAACATTCATTATTGTAATCTGCTAGAACCAGAAAACTTTTACAGGTCAACAAGAAAAATTATCCTCATTTGGAATGATTTTCATTGCCCTTATTCTTCTAAATTCACTATGTGATGGGAAATTTCCGACCAACTTGAAAAGGCAAGAATCAGATCTTCACAGAACAAAAAATATCAGTATTTTCCTCTCAATGAATACCACTTCAGTTTCAACTGGAACCACAAAGGAGGAATCCCTAAAATTCCATGTGTCAACCTTGGATCAAACACATCAAACTGAACACGTTTTAATGTGTCCAGAATAACCCCAGCAGGCACAGCTGGCAACAGCACTGGACAAGCTTCAGTTGGAACTGTTCCACATAATTCCCGAGCTTTCAGCAAATGAGCATTAGCTACAGATGCCATTTCAAATACTGCATTGCATAGATCCTCACGAGAATCCAGACGAATTTCCTGCTGTCCGCTATGATTTACCAACAACCCGTGCTTTTCTGCCACCTCAGCAGGTATGTAAGGAAAATGACGGTTTTTGCTAGCATGGTATGGCAGAGACTTGAGGAGCAATAAAAGGCCACTCGCCTTGCCAATATGTGATGCAGCATGGTCTGCTAAGGTGGACCTTATACCACCCGATTGAAGCGTTGAGTACAGGATAGTCGAAGCAGTGTCCTCGGCATATCGTTCCAACACTTCCAAAGTTTCAGGAATATCAGTAACCTCTCTATTGGCATCATCAATTCGAGCTTCAACCGAGCGTTTCAGCCAGTTCTTGCTTACTTTGTGTTCAGATATTACGGATGCAAGTGCCCTAGTTACGGGATGCTCAATTAATTTGTTCGAAAAGATCTTGTCAATTGCTTCTTTCCACCATAGCAGGCGCATAAGACCTATCTTAGGATCGGAAGCAACATCCATAGCTCTGGCCGTTTCAACATTAAAAGCACGGAGTGCAAAGGCAGCCTTCCTCATGTTTGGCGGAAGTTCAAGAAGACAAAGATAATGATGATAGTCATAATTTCGAACTTGCTGTACGCAGTAGGAGAAAGCTGTTCGCAGGCCACTAGATGAAGAAGCACCGTTCATCCAATCCCAATATATTTCCCCCTGCAGCCAGTAAAAGTTAAGCAAATTTTAAAAGTTGAGCAAGAAGAGAAAATTATGACATATGCAAATTTACTCCTGCATAAAAAACAAGCCATGGACTCCTTTACAGAGTCCTCTAACTGAATAGCCACAGATGATGCTTCATGCTAACATCTTCCATGTGTAGGAAGGTTAAAAGACCAAAATTTTCATTAAATGATGAATACAATAAAAAACTACAAACTAATCCTTATTCCCCATAAATTAAGGATCGGCCATGGGAATCCTTCTGCCTCATTCTACATTCATTGCTAGATCTACTAAGATATCCAGAGCAACTAGATCCATAGCAAGTATAACGAGCTATTATGTTAATTCAGGTCTACCCACCCTTGTATAAATTACTGTAGAGCAATTGTATCAATCATACAAATGGGAGCCTCTATAAAATGAGAATTACTTTTTTAGGGGAAGTCGAGGGAGGGAAGTACCAATCCTTGAAGCCTTGACCTCAGTTGTGGAATCAACAATCCTTAATCAACGGGGACAAGGTGAATAGGTTGACAATAACACTACTAAATCTGTGTTTCTACTTTTGCTCATGAATCATGATGAAGTTCAGCAAGTGTCTGATTTCACTAGAAAAGATCAAGCAAAATAGTTATCATTCAATAACCTATCACTCCCAACAACTCTCGTTATGCATTCGAACAGTAATTAATTTATTTGATTTACACTGTGATTCGTACAGCTGGTTCCTCATTATCCGAATTGGAAGTCCATCTGGGCTCCTAACAACACCAAAATGCATTGACATTTCTAGTAATTGAACTTCACATGAGTAGAGAAGAATAAAAGCAAAAAATAAATAAATAAATAAATAAACTTAGGCGTTTCTACTTCTGCTCATGAATCATGATGAAGTTCAGCAAGTGTTTGATTTCAACAAAAAAGATCAAGCAAAATAGTTATCATTCAATAACCTATCGCTCCCAACAACTCTTGTTATGCATTCGAACTGTAATTAATTTATTTGATTTACACTGTGATTCGTACAGCTGGTTCCTCACTATCCGAATTGGAAGTCCATCTGGGCTCCTAACAACACCAAAATGCATTGACATTTCTAGTAATTGAATTTCGCATGAGTAGAGAAGAATAAAAGCAATAAATAAATAAACTTAGGCGTTTCTACTTCTGCTCATGAATCATGATGAAGTTCAGCAAGTGTTTGATTTCACCAGAAAAGATCAAGCAAAATAGTTATCATTCAATAACCTATCGCTCCCAACAACTCTTGTTATGCATTCGAACAGTAATTAATTTATTTGATTTACACTGTGATTCGTACAGCTGGTTCCTCACTATCCGAATTGGAAGTCCATCTGGGCTCCTAAC